GTAGTCACCCAGGCAAGAGAAGAGGGCTGAGCCAGGTAACCTCTTGGGAAGGGTTCTGTATTATACCTTTAATGAAGGTATTAGTAAATCACTGGGAGACTGAAATTGACCTTTTATAGAGTGATAGCCCTGAATCTGAACATTAGCTATCCTCACTTAGGATTCGCCTAAGCATGGGAACCCCGCAGCACGTATGCCAGTAGTCATGTGAAAGCAGTGGACGCTCTCCCACTTGGCACTCTGCTACTCCCCATCTGGCTCTCAGGGCAATTTTTTTGTGTTACCAACAGTGTCTCTCTCCTTTATAATTTATAATCCTCTCATTTCCCCTTCCTTATCATAATTTCATATTGAACCATAGCTCACATACTAGTTAAAATTTCAGAATATTAGTTTTCAAATTGCCTAACCTGTCCTTGGGGAAGAAGGCATCTGATGATGCTTGATGTGTGTTTTCCATGGCATGCTACGAAGTGGGGGCACAGGGAACAAGGCAGAAGGGCAGACACTGTCCAGTCTCTTGGGGCAGAACCACGTCGTGGTATGCTTGCTGCCTTAATGTGGGGCTAGCAAGGACATGCAGGTCCTGAAGAACCAGAGCCACATGCCTGCTGTAACTTTGAAGATGGAGCAAGACCTGCAAGAAGCTCCTCAGGGAGCTTTGCTCTGGTCCCTCTGCCTCTTTGTTCAGAAGAAGGGAAGGAGCCAGTCACTTGGGAGGTGTGCGTGCATTTGGGGGAGGAGCAGCCATCTGTTGGTTGCTTTACCTTTGGATCTTTTAATCCCAGCACCACACTCCTTATTGTGGAAGGGAGGGATTGGACTGTCTGTAATAAAATGGTCTTACATTTATCCAGTCTTGCACGAGGATTCCAGCTGAAGGTTGTCAGGAGACATCTGCTTCAGAGACATGTGGATTACTCCAACCCATCAAAACAGGGTGGAGGATCTTAGGGATATTTCTCTCATCTCTTCATCTGATTTCCCAACCTCTTAAGTCCTAGATTTAGAGAATTTCCTCTAGACTCTTGTCATCTTGCCTTCTCTCTCTTTCTCACCAAAGCCTGTTCGTCTTCTTATTACTTCCCAGAAGCTCTTTTGTCCTCATGCCCTGGCTCTCTACTTAGGCTGCTGGATTCAGTGGCACGGAGGGGAGGGACAAGAGACCATGCCACAGACTTACCTCAGAGTGTGTTATATCTAAAAGCCAGTGAGACTCTTAACACTGTGAGGAGTGGCCTGCTTGTTCCTGTGGGCCTGTTTCCCAGAGGAGTGCCTGAGCTACCCAGCTTTGAGTTATGTTACAAAAGCCTTCTAGAATGAACGTCTAGGAAGGGGGTGGGGAAGTTGGAGTGAGGAGATGAGCCCGACTCATCATATCCCATTCTACATTGGCAATAAATATTAGTTGCATTTTCAAGGGCCAAGAACTAGCCCAGTACACAAAAACCCAGCCCTTTGACACATTTAAGCTTTTCTATAGAGTGAGGAGAAGAGAATAAAGTCAACTTAGGCTGTTGTCACCAACCCTGTATACTGTAGTCTCAGTCATCCAGGTAAAATAGATTCTTCTCTGTGGTAGGTGGAGCTTGATGGGAAATAAATAGTGGTGAAACAGGGAGGCCCGGTCTTCCCTTTACTCCAGCTCCCACTTGCTGACACCCGGCTCTACACGTGAGAGTGTGTAATCCTCCAGAAGCATAGGATGTGGCCTTGTCACCAGGAGCCCGAATCTCTCAGTCCCTTCCGTAGTGAGGACTTGGCTGGTGAGGGGCATTGGGCCACATCACTGAACCTGTGTCTAGCTGTCTGTCTGTCCCTCTGCCCTTTGAGTTTTCTCCTCTCTTCGCAGCCTTCACCTTTTCTCTTCCTTCTCTTTGATCTCTTCTTCTTACACTTACCCTGTCTCCACCTTCCTGCTTGCATACGCTTCTCCTATCCACCTGGGAAGATGAAGGGTATTCCATTACCCTTTTAGAAGCCTAGGGTTGACCACAGGCTTCGCTGCCCATTGAACCACCTCTATTAGGATCAACTGAGTAGATGTCACACATTAGCTTCTGGGATCAACTTAAAGGCAGCTGTACTTTCCTTTTGTTAAGTATCAGAAGAATCCCACTTCTTGAACAATTAAAAAGAAACATTGAAGAATAGAATAAAAAGGAAACTCCCTTAATTCCACCATGGTGACTCAGGTATCTTTTTCCCTAATGCTTTATACTTAAGAGGCAGTCCCTCCTGTTTTAAGCTATAGATTTCTCTAACCTTCTTCATAAACTGAATTGGCTACAAAACAACAGGTACACTCTATTTCAAAGGAGATTGAAAGTACTTCATATAACGAGGCCACTCTCTTTGGTTGCTGTCCAGAAGCGAGCTGACCCAGTTTCTAAAACTGTCTGTGTTCATTGAGGTGTTTTCTGTTAATGGTGGTCTTTGTGTGTGTGTGTGTGTGTGTGTGTATTTTATTAGAGGAGGTTTTTCATTTGTGGTCTTTGTACATATTTTAATTCAGTGAAGTCACTTCTAGCCCAGGGTCCTCTGCCTATTACAGCATGACTAAGAAGAATTCTTTTTCCTCTCTGCCTTTGGTTTCCTAATTAGGAAAACTACCACTCCGTATTGTTATCAGTACTAATTGAGAGTATTAATATAAAAGTGCATTGTACAGTTTTGAGCACTATCAAGCTGTAAAATATTCTTAAGGATATTTTTTAAAAGATTTACAATCCTGGACATGAAAAGATTTTCCTTTTTAAAAAATCCAGAAGGCAACCTGCAACAATTATCAACATTGTTTTTAAGATCCTATGTTAATAGTCTACATCATCCTAGGTTCTGCAAATGAAAGCAAAAAGAAAAGTCTGTTCATAATATTTATTAAGAACTTTCTGTGTGACTAGTATTTCCTTTGAAGAGTTTTTATTCTGACTTTGTTGTAAAACCAACGTGCATGGCATGGGGGGGCCACAAGGGAGGATCTGTAATTAGTTTATTGCAGACTCTGTACCCAAGTTCTGAGGCAATGGGGATCGTGGCATGGTTGGAGCTGGGTGGAATTTCCTTGGGGAAATTATGTTCAAGAATCCTTGTCTGTTTATTATTATCTTCTTGTGCCCGCCTTTCCTGTGTTGATACCAATGTGTACATTGAATGGAATTGTGACCGCGGATATCTACAAGGCATTTGGACAAACATCCCAGTTAAGTGCTGGGCTGTAGTTTTTACATGGATCGAATACATATGTTAAAAAGGCAACAATGTATATAGAGTTCTACTTTAAAACTCAGAAATTCATTAGCATCTGCTTCTGGAAATTCAAAGAGTAGAAGTTGTAAGCCTAATTTTCTTTCAATCACTTTAAGGTTGGTTAGAATTAGATACTGAATTTTCCTGATTTTGAAGCAGTGGTTACCCTGGCGTCCTGTATATATGGGGGTGTTTGGATATATTTAGGCTCCAGAGTTGGAGGATCCAGGGTCTCTCCATGTTGTACATCATTGTTAAAATATGTTATTGCTGTGACTGAATGTGATATTTTCTTTGGAATCTCTCTCAAATAACCAGGGAGTGATCTGCAATTTCCTCTTCCTATCTTCTGATTTATAAAAGAAATTTAATAATATTATGTTCACAGAATAGTAATGTGTGTGGAGTAGGAGTTAATCTTTTTAAAATATAAATTGCAAAATCATTTTCTTAATAGTGAAAGACGTTATTAATATGAGGAATACAGCCTTGGACTTGTCTGTGTTCTCACTCAGTTAGCAGACGTGCCAGGGTTTTGTGTCATTTTCCAGTAGACAAAAGCTAATTGCTAGGAACTAAAGGTGATTGTGGTAGGCTAGTGGGATTATGAGTACTTTTTCCTTTTCCTATTGAACGTTTTCATTATTGTTGTTATTATTATAATTAAAAAAAATATTTTAAGGCACTGTAGTTCCATTTAAACCTCCAGTTCTAATCTTTATGGAAAGGTTCAGATATATAAATTCTTCCTAGATGCAACCTGAAAAAATAACGCAGAAATAAGATGGTTACAAAGATCCTTACAATGTTTTCTTCTCCTCTCAAGTCCACCCATAAACATCTTTCAAACAAAAAGGCTACAGATTTTAATTAAGTGGTCAAAGATATTTTCTTTGTTTTTCCTTAATATTTCCTCAAAATAAAGGACCCTGGAACTGTACAATAACTGTTTTACTCTAAAATGTGTTCAAGGGAATAAAAAACCGACCTAAAGAACCAATAACATCGATAAAAACATGGACTCTTATTTTATCTGAGGAGGTGTTGGATCGTGTGGTTCATTTGGCCCATGGGGGACTGACCTCCTGGTTTCCCTCTGGGATACCACCTCCCAGGGAGCTCTGGAAGGTTTTAGCATTAAGCCCTGGCAATGGTATAGTCAGGCTCCAGCAAATGCCTGTCTATTCTTTGTGGGCCGCGGGGAAGGCACTGAGGTCTGGCGCACAATAGGTGCTCACATGCTAGATCCTTTCCCTTCCTAAGGAGGCCAAAGCCTGATCTAGAAAGTCTTCAGTCACTGACCTCTCTGGCTTATTGATCACTGTGTCCTCAGTACCCAGCACCTAGTAAGTACTCAAAAAATAGTTATTGAATGAATGGGTATTCTTGTCCCCATGTATCTGTAGTCACTGTGAGCATATAATATCCAGATATTCCTCGGGCACTGCATGCCCAGTGTCTGTGGCCTCAAGACTCTTGGTTTGACCCTCTAGATCTGCAGTGTCCAGTACGGTAGCCACTAACCACACGTGGCTGTCTACATTTATATTTTAATTAAAATTACATAAAATTTAGCCCTCAGTTACATTAGCCACATTTCAAGTGCTCGGTCACCACACGTGGCTGGTGGTTACCATACTGGATGGCACAGACATGGAGCATTGCCATCATGGGAGAAAGTTCCAATGGACACAGGATTGCTCTGTGCCTTCCCGAGCACCAGCTAATGGATTTCCTCTTCGTGTTTGCAGTGCAGCTGTCTGCTTTGGGAAGTGAGGTGTACAGGAACGAGGAGAATCTTCAAGAGCTGCCTCGCGTTGTGACATGTCTGATCCCTCGCTCCAGTCCCTGCAGCATGAACAAGGTAAGAGGTACTTTAGGGAATCAGCCTTTTCGTCTTCTTTATGGTAATATGATTTTTCGTCGGTACGTAGTATCTTTCCATGGTGTGAGGAGGTTTCTTGTCCTGTCAGAAGCGTTCCAGAGGTTGGAGAGTTGTGTGACTGCAGTGAGCAGTGTTTACAGGCACGTTCACAGGAGCTGATGGCTACTCTACGGTTGTATAGTCTTCCAGAGATGTCACTTGTGTTTGTCAGAGGCCTCTGAGCAGCTGACATACTGGTTGTTAGTATAACTGCGTTGGCACGAATGTTAGATGATTGAGGCTCTGGAGCCAGACTGCCTGGGTTTAAATATCAGCTCTTCCATATGCTTGCTTTGATGGCCTTGGGCAAGTGGCTTAACTTTTCTGTAAGATGCTGGTTATAATGGTACCTCGACACTTCATAGGGTTGTTGTAAGGATAAGTGAGTTGATATGTGCACCAGTACTTAACATAGTGCCTGTCCACATTATAAGCATTTGTTAATATTTGCTATTTTGTTTTTGATGTTGGGGACACAGTTGTCCCTTAGACATTGTTGCAAGAGAGTCTTAGGTGCGTCTGCAACATTTCTGTTTGTTCCCTCATTGATTTAGCAGGCAGCAGTTGGCTACAAGATGGACGCTCTGGAGCCTTCATGTACATCTGGAGATGTACAATGAATGAGGCTTGGGTCTTGCCTTCAGCAGGTAACAGACAATTCTGGGGCCACATGGCTAGTGTTCTAACAAAGTGTGCTAAGTTTGGCACACTCTGCTTTGGCAGACCAGGTTTGGTTCCTGGGCGCTGACCTACACCACTTGTCAGTAGCCATGCTATGGTGGCAGCTCACATACAAAAAAAAGACGAAGCTTGGCAACAGATATTAGCTCAGGGAGAATCTTCCTCAACAAAATGAGGAAGATTGGCAACAGATGTTAGCTCAGGGCAAATCTTCCTCAGCAAAAAAAAAAAGGGGGGGGGAAGAAGGAGGAGGAGAAGGAACATCCAATTCTAGGGGATCTGGAAACAACAATATAGAGGAGGCAACATTTTGAGTTGTATCCTGGATGATAAATGGTAATTTCTTGGATGCAGAAGTAGGGCAAGGCATTCCAGGTAAAGGACACAGCCTATGTTTAGACACAAAAGCATGTGAGAAAGTCTGGCATGTTTAGAGAACAACAAAGAGTTTGATACGGCTGGAGCAAGATTTCTCAACCTCGACACTATTGGTGTTTGGATCGGTAATTCTTTGTAGTGAGAGACTGTCTTCTATGTTGCATCCCCCTTCTATCACTTCATTAGTGACAACCAAACCCCTTCCCTGTGGCATTTTTTCTCATGGCCGTTCGTTGGGCCTTCTCAGGGGTGGCTGCTTTCTCTCATCAGAAGAGACCAGGAAAAAATAAGCAGTTGTTTTTTGAGAGATTTTCATTTGGCTGAGCCAGGCTCAAGAAAAGGAAATCTTGTGCTGACTTCTTTTTCCCCCTCTGGCTTAAACACTTAGCTTCAGGCAGTCTTTGAGAAGTGAGCTTTTGGAATATGGGAAGGTGGGCAGGTATTCTGCCCCAAAATCATGATTGGAGGGTGGGGAGCAGGGAGGAGAGCCATCATTGTGGTCATTGGAAAGCTTGGCTTCTATTATTTAGAGTTTGGAGTCCTGAAAAGCTAAGACAGCTCTTGGGAAATCTGATTGGCAAGCATGGTTTACTATGACAGCCCTGCCCTGAGCTTCTCCAGGGCGGTTCCAGACCTGATGTCATGGATTGACTCTTGATACCCAGCTGGGAACCAGACTCTTTAGAAATTTCAAGTGTCTCAGTAGGTGTGTCTGTTTCTTGGGAAGTTATGTTCTGCCTGAGTGACTCAATGAATGCTTTATTTTATATTATTTTAATTTAAAGTAGTGATTAAGCATGATGTGTAATGCTCATAGGTCAGCATTTTTCTTACGGTTTTCTTGGTGTAAGACAAAGAATAGGTCACTCTCTGGGAAACAGCTCTTCTCTGCACAAATAGAACCGGCGAATCGTCTTGCTGATTAGGATATGTGAGTTAGAATGCTGGAAATACTTTTGTGGGTGTGATTGATTTTTTAAGTGGATTTGTTCCTAGTAAATTGAAGGATTATGCATTTGAATTGACGCTCTCCTCTTCCTTGGATATACATGAAATATTCTCCTTCCTTCCCAAGCCCCAGCTAATTAATGGGACACTTTTATGAGGGAAGTGTCAGGATAGAGGATGGCCACAGCATTCTTGGGTCCAGTGTTACTCCTGGGAAGCACCAGGACGATTCTGATCACAGTTAGGCCTTGACAGCTCTCTTTTGGGTCAATTAGAGACCATACCTCTAGAAAATACAGGAATGGCCCCCATGGCAAAAGTGATTGGCAGTTTGTCTGAGTAATTTAACACGGCTAACCTGGTGATCAGTGAACTGCCATCCACCTGGTAGCGACTTTATTCTTCACATTCTTGAACTTCTATCTGTGTCAGAGACTGAGGGAGCACCAGGAAGGGGTGCAGTTCTGGCCCTCAGATAGTTAGCATGCTGGTGTATTAGTGCTGGCAGAAGACAAAAAGAGGGCTTTCCCAAGCACAATGCTTGTCATGAACCTGGTGCCATTTCCTGAGTCTAGTGTTCATGGAATATGTCAGTTTGATATCCACCTCACAAAGTTTATACAGAATAGATACCCTCATGTTTATTCACGTTTTTGATATATTATAAACAGGCTTTACTGGTTGTACATTCTAGGCTTTATGTTCCCAGCCTTACGTGTTGAAGAAATTGTGGGTGCACAGATTTCCCCTGGGTACTCCTTCTCCCTGGCCTTTATGCAGACTTGAAGACCTCCTTTCCAGCTTTCATATTCTCCTTAGATCTCTCTGCAAGAGCTGACTTTCTGATCTTTATATCGATCAAAAACTTTATAATTAGAATTTAACTTTTAAATTTTGTCAAAAGTCTTCATCCTTTCTACTTTTTTGGTCATTCTCTTGTTAATATGTATAAATATATGTATATAATACACAGTCATGTGCCCCATAACAACATTTTGGTCAACAATGGACCACGTATACAATGGTAGTCCCATAAGATTAGTACCATGTAGTCTAGGTGTGTAGTAGGCCGTACCATCTAGGTTTGTGTAAGAACACTCTGTGATGTTCACACAACAGTGAAATCAATCCATGAAGCATTTCTCAGAACATATCCCCGCCGATAAGGGTTGCAAGACTGTGTTAGAAATTTTTGCTAGTAAGAAGGATTAATGTTATGAGTTTTTCTGTGTTGTCTCTGTGTTATCTGTGTAAAGAGAGGATTTTAGTGTGTTACTTAAAAAAAAAACAACCAGCCAAATGGGAGGCAGGTTGGACAGGATGGGTTTTGTAGAGGCAAATTGGGCAGAGTGATGTTTGTTCAGTAAATACCACTATTTAAATTCACGAAAACTACACTCACAGACAGTTTCTGTTCTGAAAGGACCTCTCCTTCCTAGCAGCAACCTTTGGGTTATGATCCTAAACTCTTTCCCTCATGGTCATTGTTTTCATGGAGGCATATTCCATGCTGTTCTCTGTCTTGAATTTATGAGGACACTCCATCTGATTGAAAAATAATTGATTTTTCCATTATTACACAGAATGCTCCCCTCCTTCCCCCCTACAGTGAAAAAGAATCTCCTTGAGAACTGTTTCTCCCTTGTTATGTTCAGCCAGATCTGACTGTTATTGCTTTGGACAAATGCCATAGTATCGAATGAAGTAGTGTCTCTTATCTCTCTTGGTGGGTGGACGCCACTGTTTTGCTTAATATGTGCCCAATAGAACTCCTTCTGTGAATATTTTCCAGTATTCAGCACTGTATCCTACTGTGCCAGGTTTGAGGCAGTTTCACCTTCACACTCACGTTAATATCTCTACAGTTAACTGAAAAGTAAAACTAAAATTTAGTTTCTGCCTTCATTGAGAGTTTTTACTTTCTCCTCCTTAATACGGAGCAGTGAAGTCCAGAGTTACCCCCGGCTCTCCCACCCAACACCTGGCATACACATTACTTCATTAGACATCGGCTCCTCCAACATGTGTCTATCAAGGGCATACTGTCTGCCGTGCACTGTGCATGCAGTACATCAGTGAGCAAAACGATGGTATGTGCCGTGAGAAGCTTTTGTTCTGACCAAGTTGAAGAGAGTCATCACATCCCAGAGGTTTAAACATAAACCTAATGTTAAAACTTTTTCCATTTTAAACTTCTTTCACTCGAAGAGCAAGTTAACAGAGCTACTGGATGCAGTATAAGGAATTGGTGAACAGTGAACATATGCGGTCTCTCTCTTCCCCTTTCTAGGACACTCTTGGTGGTTTCACCAGATGACCAGTCTGTATTTAATGAGTTTCCACTGTTGTTTTTGTGAAAGCAGTGACCAACTTCCCCCTCATGGCAGACTTTGAAGAAATACTGCATACTTCAAAAACTAGTGACGTGCAAGAAAATACAAATAAAAATTAAATGATCTTGGAGTAAGGAAGGCCTTATTAATTTCTAGCAGCAGAAATTGCAAAGGAAGAGAATGTATTTGATATGTAAAATCTCAAAATTTCTTTCCATCAAAAGACATTCTGAACTACCCTAAAACACAAAAGACAAGCCAGGATAATATTTACAACATGTAGCACAGAGACTTAACTTAGCTAATTTATTAAGAGCTGTTACAAATTAATCAGATAAGGATGATTGCTCTAATAGAAAATGGGCAAAGAACAGAAATATCAAACCAATAAAGGAAGAAGTATGATCAATAAATAACATAGAAGAAAATGTTTAACCTCCACAGTTATCAAAGAAATGCAAATTAAAATAATGAGATGGCATTTTCCACCTATGCTGTTGATGAAGATTTATAAACTTTACTCAGCGAAGGTAGGATTGGTACTGTCAGGCTCTCATACACAGTTAGTGAAAGAACACATTTCTCAAGGGGACTTAAACA